AAAAATGCCCAACAATGCAGGGAATGAGAAGAGGGAAGCATCTTCAGTTTCAGGTTTTTGTATTACATCACACAGTGGTGTGTGAATTCATGACAGCGTTGATACAGTACAACTCCCTCACACCTTCAGCACTCATACATCCCTATAGAAGAGTTTTACTACCACTGAATGCCACTGTGGGAACCAAGCACTTCTCTCTGTACTCCTCATTTAGCAACACCAGAACATTTTGGATGCTGTTAGATCCGAAATGATTGAATTGGTCTCATGAGACCAGAGTATGGATTCCCAGAAGTCTATATTTTGTAAATATGGGCCTTGGAAAAAGCTAAATGAGTTTATTGTGCTTTGGCTACAGTCGGTAGTTCTGGTGTGGATAAACAACCATGCATGTCACTTCTGCATGCTGCATTATACTCTGTGAGATAAAGTGCCAGCTTTTGCCGGCTCTGAGACACTTTCACACGTTTCTCCTGCTCTTTTTCTAGCAAAAACTCCCTCATCACTAAATGAAAGCTTAAAGTGAAGACCTGATTATTTCAGGGGCCTTTTCACAAGTCCATTGTTTTTGAATTTCTGTGTTACTTTGGCTATATTTTCACACTTAAACCAATAATTTGGTAGGCATTAAGTCCATGAGTATGATTCAGTGGGCCATATAACACTTATTTATCAAGAAATTACTTACCCTTAACAGTTTTGGTTCAACATACTTACCTGTTGATCAATACTTGCCTTAACCTTACACCAGAATTTTATTTTTTTATTTAGTAACTTTCAGGAGGGTGTACTCATTTTTGCAACACAACATTTTATCACTTTGATAAGAAAACGTTATTTTCTTGAATAATTTTAACATTCTTCTGTGGTAACTGATCAAGTAGACTTGCTGGAATATTATATCTCTAAAAAAACCATAACATGTCTTCTAAGCAAAGAGTAATTGCTGAATTTGTTAAGTTTCAGAGGGGTGTACTCATTTGTGCTGTGCACTGTATATATATATATATATATATATATATATATATATATATATATATATATATACACACAGTATATAGCCATGGATTCATATACCGCCAAATCATAGGTTATATGTAAAAATGTGTACAAGGACCGAAAAGTCCCATGTTGTGAAGAAACTTTTAGGTAGATATTTTAGTAGGATGGTGCAGCATCAGTGTGAGGAGGAGGGTTTCAGGGTTGCTAGTGTAAGTATACTCTCGAATGCGTCCGTGGGCGACTACTGCGGTTAACATGTCGTAGCTCAGCAATGATCATATGAGAACAAGAAAGGGGAAAAAGCACAGATACATTTTAGCTCAGTCATTTGTGTTTTCCGCAGAAACAGTGAGACATCTTTTCCTTCGGTCGGTACCAATAACCAGAGAGGTTGGTAAGTAACCACGTGGATAAAGGGCACCATTGGAGAAGAGTAACGTGGTGCAAAAAGATGCGACAAGCACTTTGAGTTGCATTGTAAGAGCCCCTTCCCCCTCCCCTCCGAAACCACACTGTATCGCTGTAGGCCCCTATCACACAAAAACATCTCACAACAACAGCATCGGTGGTTTCTCTGCATACAGTTGTTGTATGTACCCTACGCTCGAGGCTCCTATACCATAGGGTGCTATTTTTTTAATGCCTCTGCACTCTTCTCCTTTATCTTTCGTTGAGGTTGGGATCTTTGAGCTCCTATAAAAACCCCTGAAATGCAAGCAGGTGGTACAGAGGGAGGAGATGAGCTGCTTTCTGTGGGAGAAAGTCACTTTATGGAGGCACAAACTCAAGTTTTATTGACTACAGAATATTTTTCTTTTTAAAAGGTCTAAGGGTTTTTAATTTGGGAAATTCTGTATTATTGTCTTTTGGCTTATTGTGTTGTCTGTTGGTTGTGGTAGGCCATATGTATCCACCAAATTTGTTTTACTTCTAAAGAAAAGTGAAAGCTTGAACAAAACTGAAAAAAAAGCAGATAGGGAGTAATGAAAACTGAGAGTCACATCATGGTTTGTGGATAGACTTCCTCTGACTGATGGATTGACCTTAAAGTAACTAATAATAAAAGAAATAATTTTTTACAGAGACAGAAAAACAATACAAAAATATTGTATTAAACCTATGCGTGTTTTGACAAATCTCATGTTATGCTTGCATTTGAAATATCTTTAAGCGCCTGCATTGCCAAAATGTGATGACTTCCTGTGAAAACGTTACCACAAACAGGTTGAGCAGACAAGGCAAATGATCAAACTGGCGTGTCTTGCCATCCCACGACCGTTACCACAGGGCTCATATGTCTGGGAAAACGTGCGCAGCCACATTCACAAGACCCCAGCGAGGAAGTTGAAAGCATCGAAAGTACTGAAAAAAAGATAAACAGATTGAAAGATTTGAATTGATCTGAATCATATTCAAATGCGGTCAACAGGGACAAAATAATGACTTCCTTTTTTATTCATAATCTTGACACTTGTTCTGACATTTACAGCTTTTAATGGTATGCACCAGGCATGTTAAATTCACACATATTCTGACATTTACTAGATGCTGTTCATGCAGCGTTTCAACTGATCTAAAATTAATCAAATTAAGCACAACTTTGATATCATTTTACACATCAGTCCAATAAATAAGACATTAATATTGAATTACTTACATTTTATACATTGTATTGCTAGCTGATTTGTGTGTTTTTGCCACGCCAACGAAAACAGAGCTAAAGGAGCCACATCATTTCTGAATGAATCAGTTGAGAGAATGATTCAATGATTCGCTCACATACTTTTACAGCTTTTTGATTCATAATCTTGACACTTGTTCTGACATTTACAGCTTTTAATAGTATGCACTAGGTATGTTAAATTCACATAATAGCCTATATATTTTAAAACTGACATTTACTAGATGCTGTTCATGTTTTAACTGACTTAAAATTAATCAAATTAAGCACAACTTTGATATCATTTTACACATCAGTCCAATAAATAACTTACACTTACATAGTATATATATACATAGGCTACACATACATAGGCTAGTATTGCTAGCTACTTTGCAAAAACAGCGCTAATGGAGCAACACATAGTTGTGGCGTTTAATTCCTGAAGAAGTCAGTAAAGAGAATGATTCAGTTATTCACTCACATAATGACAGTCAACTTTCAGAAAGATTGTTGTCACTGAAAAATCCCCACCACTAATGCACAGACTGATGACTAACGACAGTCTGTCAGGAACGCGAACAACACAGACAAGCAGAGTGATACAAACAGTGAAATAGGCTAGCCCCTAAGAAAAGTAACTTAGCAATGCTGTTAAAGTTCCGCTTCACCAATCTAATTCGAGGACCATCACTGACATGTCAGGGACTATATTTTTCTAGCGAAATTATGAAATGAATGGATTGTAATAGCCATTTAAGTTAAAATTAATATTTTTTTTATGTAGAAGCCGTCATATAAAAGTAGTAAGAAGCCTGAAGACCCTGCTGCTCGTAACTAACAACATCTTTTAGCCGTGAACTTTACTCACAAGACTTCATTTAGTATCATTAGCTGTAACTAATGATGATCTAAAGTATGTGTTCATGTGGGTGCTTCATCAAAGTTAAAATTAAATTAATAAGTGTGATATTTTGGAGCATAAAAATAAAGACCGAATAAATGGGTGTGATTTGCTTTTAAAAGTGTGAGTTTCGTGCCACAAATAGCATGCATGGTATCATGTGAGACTTACTGTTTGAGTGTCACTGAAAAAAAAAAGAAGCAAATTATATGAAGAGTTAATTTGCAGAAACAGACAACTCTGTTTTTAACAATTGTCAAAAATCATGTTTTTTCATTGTGCATTCCAATTCATCTCAAACTGCAGTTGGGTTATTTTGATTAGGCTACTTTTTTTTTTTTGAAAATTAAAAAAAAAAAAGTTATGTTTTTGCAAATAGACTCTTCATATATGAAACATATACATAATTTCTAACTCTGATGTACCAGTAGTTAAAATTAGCAATCATTTAGATAAAGGCATGCGATTTTTCAGAGCTTTGACTCAACTCCAAATATGGTCGGTAGAGGGCAGTAAACAAATAAATAAATAAAATCAACCCTTGCTTGGAACATAAAAACCAAGCGACTGTGGCATTAAAACTCCTTATGGTCAACGTAAAATGAATGGTCAAAAAATATACAATATATTTACAAAATAACAAGAATACAACTGAAAAATTGAGAGATCTTACTTTATTGGTGTTGAAAGAACTATTTCAATCCAGAAAGTTGTATCCAGAGAGTGATCATTTGCAGAAACGGACAACTCTGTTTTTAACAATTGTCAAAAATCATGTTTTTTCATTGTGCATTCCAATTCATCTCAAACTGCAGTTGGGTTATTTTGATTAGGCTACTTTTTTTTTTTGAAAATTAAAAAAAAAAAAGTTATGTTTTTGCAAATAGACTCTTCATATATGAAACATATACATAATTTCTAACTCTGATGTACCAGTAGTTAAAATTAGCAATCATTTAGATAAAGGCATGCGATTTTTCAGAGCTTTGACTCAACTCCAAATATGGTCGGTAGAGGGCAGTAAACAAATAAATAAATAAAATCAACCCTTGCTTGGAACATCAAAACCAAGCGACTGTGGCATTAAAATTCCTTATGGTCAACGTAAAATGAATGGTCAAAAAATATACAATATATTTACAAAATAACAAGAATACAACTGAAAAATTGAGAGATCTTACTTTATTGGTGTTGAAAGAACTATTTCAATCCAGAAAGTTGTATCCAGAGAGTGATAGTGCAATACATGAGATTTTGACAGCTTTGTATAAACTTTGAAACCTAAAACTAAAACGTGAATTACCTCTTTGAAACAAAATACGGTATCCTGAATTGACATGATGCACTATTCTTGCAGAACAGCCCATTCTGTTGGCAACATACAAAATAAGGGGAAAATCGTGAGATTGTATAAAATTGTACTTTTTTTTTTAAGTAAACAATGCGTAGTTATTGCTATTTGATTACACAATCATTTACAGAGCTGTGTAAAGTATAAAGTAAATTGTGATAATTGCTTTCATGAAATAGTAACCTGGTAGCTTTGAGAATGTATTTCTGTACACCATAAAACTCATCCCAGTGTATATGACGCCTCTTTAGATACATTTCTTCATCATACTTGCACATGCCTTCCAGCACATTCTAGATTCCACCAACAAACAATCACAAGATTATTTATTTCAACAGAATATTAAATATCCCAGCTCAAACTCCTCTCATCATCCTCGTTCCCACCGCTCCACATACTTCCACTTGTCATGGTCACTTTCACAATCGGCCACATTTGCTGGCCCTGTGATTCAGGGTCCCAAGTTTCTGCATTGGTTTCTTCAACACATGCGGAGAAAAAAAGCTTAAAAAGCCCCTGTTCGGAGAGTCCGATCCACTGGCAACAGCCACTGCAATGCAGAGATTTCCTGCTTCTTTTTGCTAGAGGTTGTGGGAATGAATCTTGGCAGCCGATTTTACAAGTTCACCTAGAAAAAAAAAGCGAGATTGTGGCGTTGCTTCAGTGGGAGCCCATGTTTCTGAGATGAGACTGTGCTCCAGCACAAGCAAGGGAAATAAAAGACACTTTTCCATTACAAACACAAAGAAATCAGTGCACACTAATACAGATACATGAATACAGACACATACATCTTGCACTAGTGTTTCATGTCAGTAGCCCAAAACCCTCTTACTTTAATTTAGATTACACTTGTTTAATCATAAGAATTAGTCAAAGACAAACACATCCCAATCCAAATATAGTGTTTAAACTTCATATTTCAATAGCCTTGCTTGTATAAAATGGGAGCCCAGAGAGAACTGGTTGAGTGTTATAGAAGGAAAGTCAAAAGGCTGACAGCGTATTTACACCTGCATCATTTAGACTTATTTCCCCCCTTATTGAAACCGTCTCAACATCACAGTTAGTCGGTCAGGGAGAATTGTCCGTCTTGTTAAATGTTGATACTGTAAATCCCACACGTGTGGTGTTGTTAGTATGTGGGTTAGCAGATCTGCGATGGGCCGCTACAGGCCGCTCAGAGCGAGACAGAGAGATTTGAGATGTCAGACCCGTGTGAGGAAGTGCAGGCTGAGGGAGGCCGGGATGTGTACGGTTTCCAAACTGAGCGCAGATGGAGTGTAAGGGAAGAGCACAGGGAAGGTGTATTTAGTGTCTACCAGCAGTTGGTTGTTTTCTATTCGATCTTGGAGGCGATTCTGCGAAAGGAGAAATGAGAGTATTTATTGGACATGCTCATTGAGAAGCCATCAAACACTGCAGAAAATACTGATCTTTCAGTAACTAGACAATACTAACTTATACCAGCTTTTGAATGCTTTCATGTGCATGTGAAAAAAAAAAATTCTGTTGAATGATCTAATACACTTCTTGTTTGAAAAGCCCTTCTAAGAGAGATGTTAATGACTTAAGTTGCCAGGAAACCAAATCAAATGTATGTTAAAATGTGGGATCTCCACTTCAGATTTTGAAGTGTTAACAGAACTAACAAGTGTGCAGCCATCTATCCAAAATGTATTTAAAAATTTGTCAATTTATAATGAACCAATTAGTAATGTTTAACAATAAAGACAAAACTGCACTTACATTTTTACATGAATATATAAATTAAATTTAAAACTGTAATAATATTTCAAAAATGTTACTGTTTTCCCTGTATATCAGTTCAAATTAGAGCAGCCTTGTACACTAATATGAACAGATCTCCTGGAAAAAACATAAACCTTACCAAACACAAACTTTTAAACAACAGTGTATGATATATATAATACATCTATTATATAAAAGAAATTCCTTAATATTATATACACTGACTAAACTTTTTTAGGCAGGAGTGCGTTTACTAGCATATTTTTGTTGTGTTTTACTGATGTTGAAATGTTGGTACACCCAGCAAGTGTGTGTCCATAGTGTGTTTACCTGTATGTCTCTTATGAAAGACACCGTGACTCGTTCCTCAAAATCATTGAGTGGAGTGTACAAGTTGAGGATCTTCACAATCTGAAGTGAAGTAGAATAGCATGATTAAGTCAATGAAAAACAAAACAAAACAATGAATAAAGAAAAAATGAATGCTAAATGTGTACCTGCTGTAAGCTGAGGGCGGTACAGAGCGAGCAAATGGCCTCTGCATCTTGGGAGGTCTTCTTCTTCACCTGCAGCAGCTGGGCGGCCTGGATAACAGGTTCCATGGTGGCTACAGCTCCACTCTGGTGCAGATTCTTTCCTCTTAGCCATTCCTCCAACTGACTGATGTTGTACCTGAAATGACACCAATGAGATGGATGTTACGTTCATCTGAAGTCCTGAAGATTTAACAAGGCCACGGATTTGCCTGAGAGCATCAAACGTGTACCTGAGCTGCACGCCGGTACTCCAAGAGCAGACATCTTTGCGCAGCAGCAGGTTGTTGAGGGTCACTGCATTGATGGAGTAGAAGAGCTGGCGAACCACCTGCTGGCTGATCTCAGGGTCCAGGCCGTGGTCCGCCATGACGGTGTAAAACTGTCCCAGCTGTCTGATCAGGGCCTGTAGCGTGTAGCCCGCTGGACCTCCGCTCTCACAGTCCAAACTAGAGGAGCGGTTCCTGTAGCCCATGGGCTTCACACCGGCCAGGCTGGGGATGCTCTCGCTCTCAAGCATGGCAGAAACTGACAAAACATTATGAACTATTAGAATGTGCAAACAGCTCCATTTTCAGTGGTTAAAGTGGTCTGGTGTTTCTCTATACCCACCAATCATGGGTTGCATGATGCCTTCTGCTACTCTGACGAGCTGCTGATAGACCTGGATGGAGAGGTCACTCAGAACCTGCCGATACTCAGCCAGGTCAAAGTTCTTCAGGCAGTGCTCGTTTTGCTTGACAGTGTTCTGTGTCATGAACGCCTATGACAGGAAGCAACAGCCAAATCATACCAGTGATCTAGACGGGGTCACCTGAGGCTTAAAACCACACTTTTCAAGCATTATCTGTACTTAATGGCTGGTTAAATATGTTAAAGTGTGGTACATGGAACTGGCTCTTATACTTGCAGCTGAAATCATCACTGGACAAAATAAAAATCTCACCTCATCCCCGCTGTACTGCTTCAGACAGTGCAGAACTCGACTGGCATTTGCCAGCCAGAAGGAGGTCATCTCAAAGTCATCGTTGTTTCTCTGAAGAGAAGATTTTAAAAAAGAGGGATGATGAAATCTTTATGGGTTTATATATTACTGTTTTCAAGTTTGGGGTCAGCAGGATTTAAGTTTTTTTTTTTAAAGTCTCTTGTTCAGCTAGGCTGGATTTATTTGATCATAAATACAATAAAACAAAGTAATATTTTGAAATATTATTATAATTTAAAATATTATTGTTTTTTTTTATATAATCTAAAAAAATTAATTCATGTGACGGCAAAGCTGAATTTTCAGCATCATTACTACATTACAGTTTTCAAGTTTGGGGTCAGCAGGATTTAAGTTTTTTTTTTAAAGTCTCTTGTTCAGCTAGGCTGGATTTATTTGATCATAAATACAATAAAACAAAGTAATATTTTGAAATATTATTATAATTTAAAATATTATTGTTTTTTTTATATAATCTAAAAAAATTAATTCATGTGACGGCAAAGCTGAATTTTCAGCATCATTACTCCTGTCTTCAGAGATTTATACATCATCTGAAAGCTGAATGAATAAGCTTTACATTGATGTATGGCTGGTTAGGATAGGATAATATTTGGCTGAGATACAACTATTTGAAAATATGGAATCTGAGGGTGCAAAAAAAATCTATATATTGAGAAAAGCTCCTTTAAAGTTGTCCAAATGAAGTTCTTAGCAATGCATATTACTAATCAAAAATTAAGTTTTAATATATTTACAGTAGGAACTTTACAAAATATATTCATGGAACATGATCTTTACCTAATTTCCTAATGATTTTTGGCATAAAAGAAAAATCAATAATTTTTTTTTTTGGCTATTGCTACTAATATACCCCTGCTACTTAAGACTGGTTTTGTGGTCCAGGGTCACATATATGCTGGTGCTCAAGAAAAATTTCTTTTTTATTATCAGTGTTTAAAAACAGTTGTGCTGCTTAATATTTTGGTGAAAACTGTGAAATAGATTTTTCAGGATTATTTGATGAATAGAATGTTAAAAGCATTTATGCTAAACAACATTTTTTTTAACATTATAAAATGTATTTACTTTTAAACTCCGCATTTATGTTAAACAGATCATTTCTTTAACATTATAATTGCCTTTATTGAAACTTTTGATCAATTTAATGCATCCTTGCTGAAGTATTAATTTCTTTAAAAACAAACAAACTTTCGAATAGTAGTGTAGCTGGTTTGAATTCTGGGAGTGTGTCGATGTGATTACATACAGTATACATACCTTCAGGACCTTTTTGATGGCATTGATGGTTGTGGTAAGGAGTGAATGAACTTTCTGGTCATCGTTGATGTAGTCGGCATGACGGATACACATGAAGAGGATGTAAGCAGGGAGGCAGGGGACTGTGGCCGACACCGCATTGGGCTTCATCTCTAAAGACAAGACCAGTGCATTTAACATAGCTACAGGCCCTCCACATTAAAACATGCCTGCATGTAACTACACATACCTGTAATTAAAGTCTTGACCAGCAAGGCCTCATCTTCTTTGTAGTACTCCAGCATGCCTTCAAAGTCCTTTTCTTTCCTCTGTACGGTGACCTGACGAGTCAGCTCTGGTCTGCTCTTTGTGGCCTGAGACACTGTATGAAGAATAACAGCACATCAGCAAATGGCAATAAGTACACGGTAAACATAACGGTAAACACACAGATGAAAGACAGATGTTTAACCTTCCAGCTCTTGCACTTTCTTCATATAGATCCTCAACTGCTTCTTCAACTTCTTCTCATTCTTCTCCAACTTCTCAACAAGTTCCTTCAGATCCTGGAGAACAATAATCACCATCATCTTGAGTGAGAATGTCAATATTGTGTGTTGGATATGAACCATTGGCTAAGTCTGAGGGCTCACTGAAAAACAATCGTGTTGTTTCCCAGTCAAAATAAGCAAATATTCCTTAAAACAAGATGAATTTAATATGTTTTAGCAAAATTGATTGTGCAAAATAAATTTTTTTTAGATCGTCTAGTTTAATTTTTCTTATCACAATGAAAAACTTTTTTTTTTGTTTTATTTACCATAAATCTAACACAATTCAGAGATTCATGCTTAAAGCAACACAAACAATTAGCCAATAAGTTAAGAAAAAATATGCTTCATTCAAAATCTACAATTAATCTTGTTTTCAGTGTTCATTTCGTTGATGAAAAATATTCGTATATTCATCATTTTCGTAAACATTTTTTCACAGACAAAAACGAGACAACAAAATAGAAACTCTTTTTGAATGACAAAAACAATGACGAAAATCTACTGACATTTTCGTCAAGGTATAAAAACAAGATGAAAACGTTAGGGAGGTATGACTGGACAGAGATCCAATCAGAACGAATCTCCTGCGTGGAAGGGAGAGTAGATGCGCACATTTGAACTGTAACTCTCTGATCATGCGCTTGCATACACTTGCTGCACAGCTGATAAAATGTAAAAAAATGTAAGCATCTGGGAATAAGAGAAGAGCAGACATATGGATAAATTTGAAAAGCGTGATGAGCACTGAATTCGGTCAGGTTTTCTGAGCGCACATAGCCAAAACCCGCATACAGAAAAGTGCCTCTCAAACAGTACACGACTACTGAATTCGACCACTAACTACTGAATTCGACTACGGACTACTTAACGGAGAAATACACACAAAGTCTCTTTTGACGAGTATTTACGTAAACACACCCGGTTACATCTTAAGTGAATGTAAACTGTTGGGAGAATTTCGCCAGTATATTGAATCTGTGCAATCAGTTTTAAAGGGGCAGCAGTCTTAATTTAGTTAAAGGGGTCCTATTATGCTCTTTTTACAAAGTTTTGATTTTGTTTTGGGGGTGTACTAGAACAGGCTCTCATACTAGGTTGCTCGAAAAACACATTATTTATCACATATTTTACATTATTACAACACCTCTCTCCCCAGTCTGGCATGAACGGCTCGAATAGTTCCTGTATCAAATGAAGGCCTGCCTTCTGAAATACGAAATGTGGTGTGATTGGTTAGCTGGGCCAGTGTGTGTTGTGATTGGCAGCACTCGGCGCCTGGTCGGGAAATGTCACGCCCCTTACCATAGCCGCCTGCTGCGAGCTTCAGTGTAAATATTGCGTCAAAATCAAATCAATTTGAGCGCGATTTAAACCCGGATGATTGTAACCACTCGAAGTTCGTCTGCCTTGGGAAAGCTAGCGTGTCTCTGACATAGTGATAACACTCGTTGCCACTCTAGAGCAGCTCAACCAGGTCTCGTCCCATTCGTCGATATTTGTGATATCACAAATCCCGGAAAATATGCGTTGTAGTCCAAACCAAGGTTATTTTCGTAAACGAAAACTAAAACGATTGATGAAAAAACTATTTTGTAAACTGAAATAAAATAAAAACATCAAAATAATTGAAAAACTAAAACGAAACTAAACTAACAACAGTTATTGAAAAACTAACTGAAATAAAATATTTATCAAAAATAAACAATCGTTTTCGCAATCATTACGTTCTCACCCCTTGGCGGAAAAAATATACAGCTGTGTGGAGGTTTAGGGAAATAGCCTATAATGGCGCATCACGCACATGGAGTTATCTGACGGAGAGACGCAAAGCAGTTTAAAGCCTGCACGGGTCTTGTTTGGTAAACGTTCATCAGCAGTACTTAACAGAACACCCGACCCATTATCTGACAGCAGCGCTAATTTAATTCTGTACCAGACCAGAACCGTTTGACAAAGACCACGAGTCACGACCCGAACCGCTCTCGCATTAAATCTATTACATAAGGTAAGCAAGATTATTTATTTGATCATGTAACACAAGCAATCAAACCAACATTAGGCATTCTAAGTCGGTGCTTTGAAGAAAAACAGACATGCAGCGCAACATGATAATTAACAGAAAAAAAGATGAGAACGCGCGTCCTTTCTGTAAACAACACAAAACTTTAGCCAATCATCTTGTGATCATTCTGCCAGGCTTTTGAACAAATGTGCATTGGCTAAATCACATAATACACACGCTTATAATTCTTCATAAATGAAAAGAACATTCAAATATAAGCCTTTACTGTTAAATGCGATTGCCGTTATTATTGAATTTCATTAGTCCCCGTTTTGATTTATGCACGGCTGTTCACGGAAAAGTGAGCAAGACACCACAGTTACAATATCATGATTATGGTTAAATAAGAAAAAACATAACCAAATCAGGCTACATTCATACTAAATCTCTCAACACACATCATTGGATATGACATTAAGCGCAACTTGTGTAGATTAATTTAGTAAAACAGGCTTGACTGCTTTCTTTGGCAAATAATTGTATACTTGTACTACCTAATCAATCTCAGCATGCGTTAATTTTGTGTCTCTATATGTTTGCCTCACTAAGGTTAATTTATGCCTACGTCTGTCTTTGGCCTGCGCTCTGGAAGTGATCTGTTAATTCTGCTCAACTTTAAAACTGAAACTAAAACTGAAACTAAACTATATAAAAACTAAATAAAAATGTGTTCACAAAATAAAAATTTAACTAAAACTAACAAAAATATTAATGAAACTAAAACTAAACTGAATTTTATAGCAAATTTGAAAACGATATTAAAATAAAACAAATTTAAAAATTCAAAACTATAATAAACTTGGTCCAAACGAGTCGTTCGTTGTAATTTTTGAAAATTGATTTCTGTTAAATAAAATATCTCCTTTTAAATTGGACTTTGAGCTTTGTAACTTCGCAGATCTTTTTTATGCTCAAACAGCAACATTACAGACTAACTAAAGTTGAAAAAGTGAAAAAGCATAATAGGACCCCTTTAATGTATCAACAAAAGTGAGGAAATTACTCATTGCTCTTGACTGAATCACTTTAGTAGCTCTAATAAGGAACAATCTAAATTTAATTTATATAAATAAATATGTCTGCTTGAAAGAATGAAGGATGTTGTATGCAAGTTGTTATAAAGAATGAATATTATAGGCCCTATAATCACTGGTATTTTATTGAAAAGACGACCATCTTTTCATCCGTTCTTTTTTCTTTATGAAAAGTGTTTTTTTTAAGTTTTTTTTTTTAGATAAAGACATGTTATGTGTCAGTTTTATCTTTGTCTATATTGCATGTTCAAATCTTAATATCATTTATATTACCAGGTTAATAGAAAATTGACAATTTTAGAAAGACACTTAATAAAGGCATTACACTAAATAAACCCATTAGATTTTAAAGTCTCATGATATTTAGTCGACTAAAACTAGACTAAGAATAAAACAATTCAAATGAATAAAATATGACTAAAACTAAATGGTATTTTAGTCCAAAGACTATGACTAAAACTAAATAAAAATTTGCTGTCAAAATTAACACTGCTTGTTTTAGGTATATCTAGGCATTTAAAAAAAACATAAAAAATAAAATAAAAGGAAGACAATAATACTGATTACATAAATTCTATCTGAGATAAGGTCTCACCAGGTTTTCGTTAGTGAGGCGTGTGATCTCCTGTTGCACACTGAACTCCACCAGAGCATCAGGAGAAAGTGTGGAGAAGTGGTCCAGCATTTCCTGTTTCTTCTCCAGACTGTCCTTCAGCAGTTCGATTTGCGTGTGGAGAGCCTCTAACTCATCCTTGTGCTGTCGAGACTGTGTCTGCAGCTGGGCCTCCAGCAACCTGAACACAAACATGCCATAATATTGTATAAGTGGGTGTAAACTGTGCATACACTTTGGTTAGCCCTCAACACACTTCTCAAAAGTGACAAAACTCAATATATGCCCAATGGTCCTTTACTGATTGAAAAACACTGACAGAAACAGAAGCCTCGAAATCCAGTTAAACCTGGAGGGAAATCCAAGAAATTTAAAGCACAACCTGGCAACTTGCTTTAGACCCTGGTAGGCCAGGCCAAGTTCCCCATCTTCATTCAAATAACCCCAGTCTTGAGCTTTACTGGCATCCGAGTAACAGAGAGCCAAAGAGACAGAGGAGCGGCAGCAGACAGACAGGAGAGAAAGCAAAAGAGAAGAATGACAAGATGGCAGGGCCAGTTAGTGTAGCAAAGCAAGGTATGGCAGGTTAGATTAGTCTGTGAAGACGTCAGATTGAGCATGAGGGCACATCTGAATTACCCATCTCCATTTCACCCGTATTATCTTCAAGTAAAGAGGTCATGTAGCTGCTACAACTTTGCTTATTTCTTGAGGATATAATGTTGTTGTTTTTTTAGGTAAGCTGCCTGGACAAGCAATGTCTGCAAGAAGATGTGGCACTCACAGGAAATGAGAAATAGACATAGGAGGAAAAATGCATGTATGAGAAATCAGATGGTGTTTAAAGTGCCAAGTCCTGAGACCACAGAGTACGAAACGTATTCTTTCACAGGTAATGATGAGTACGTCATCTAACATCTGTCACTCTCCGTTTCAAAAGACCACTTTAAAAATGTGACAGAGAGAAAGTGTCATTAATTCAGAGCAGCATGGATGGATATTGGACAGAATGAAAGTTCAGATTTAACAGAGCACTGGCCAGAGGTAAAAGGATAAAAAGCCAGAGATGAACATTTAAATAGACTATAAATAGTGCTCTGCATTTATCCCATCCAAAGTGCACACACACAGCAGTGAACACACACACCGTGAACACACACCCGGAGCAGTGGGCAGCCATTTTTTGCTGCGGCACCATCAGTCGAGGTATTGAAGGTGGGAGAGAGCGCTGTACATTCACTCCCCCCACCCACAATCCATGCCGGTACGAGACTCAAACCCATAACCTTTGGGTTATGAGTCCGACTCTCTAACCATTAGGCCACGACTTCCCCCTTCGTCTTACCATGTTACCATGTAAGAATTCGTCTTCCCACGATAATAACGATAAAGTCTAGTTGTTGACATATTTCTGTGTGCGACTGTGTGGAGTGACGTGAAGGAAGGCGGACGTGAAATTGAGCAGCTCCTTCTACAATCTGGAACAGGTTTGGATAGGGCTGTACAGTGGTCTGTAAAATCGGTCTGAGCCTTGAGTAAATGTACAACAGTAGCACGTGTGCAACACAGTTTTACATGTGTATGAGTCGTTTACAAACCTGTTGTCCAACAAAGATATTTTAATTTATTGACATGCTTTTTTCCATATTAACTTCATAACAGTCGAGTGTTTTAAATATTTTAGTTTTGTGATCAGACGTGGTTTCGTATCACAGAATAAGGCAGAAATCATACTATTTTATAGCATTATATACAGTGATAAAGGCTATGTCGATTAGCATTGCATTATAAATATACTCTATCCTTATAAAAAATACCCAAGATTTCTTGAAGAACACAGATACCATATATTTTGTGCAATCGCATGTTTATTGTCTTCAGGTTTCCTCAGTTAAAATTTCTCTATCTGCGTTTTATTCTTCCTGGAACATTATTTCTACTATGCATATGTGGAGTTTCTGCACAAGGGCGCCCTCCGGCTTCCAGTATGAATTAAACAGTCATTACATTACGTGTGTACTCACTCAGTAATGCTCACAACACCCTATTTTGGGTAAAAATAGGAAAGATAATACTTTTCTCTAAAGAAACCGGATTCCCTAAATTATCGTCATTGATATAGTTATCGCAATAAATATTAGAAATTATCGTGATACATTTTTAAGCCCATATCGCCCATCCCTAGTTTGTAAAAAAGGTACTTGCCAGCTGGTCAGTAACTTTATATGGAATTGCAATTTAATACTTTGTTTACATCAAATGAGAATGATAGTCTGATCTACTGTTAAAAAATGTGGAGTCAGTAATTTAAAATATAAATATTTTTTAGCATTATAAAAGTCTTTACGGTCACTTTCAATTTAATTCAATGCATTCTTGCTGAATATAAGTATTAATAATTAAAAAAATTTTTTTTTTTAAATGTTAATGACCCTGAACTGTTGTGACGCAATTTGAATCAGTCATTTACTTTTTAGTTCAAATTTACCTTTAAGAAGCAGCTATTTCAAAACATTCAAAACTCCATGCCTGCATCTGAAAGCTGAGAAACCCTTCATCTAGTTGGTTTAAGAAGTATAATTTTGTTGCCTATAATATCCTAAAATCCTGTGTGTGGTTAAAAATAAAAATGGTGTCCGTTTTTTCCAATTTATAACTCAATTTGCACCAAGAAAAAAATAAGTTATTTTAATTGGTTATCTCTACAGCTCACCTTTGTTTTAGAGCAGTAGACATAATGCTGTAGTGCAACAGAATATAATAATATGAAACAGTTTCAATACAACTAGTATGAATGCAAAATAATGTTTCATGGCAAAAAAATTTGTATGGCCACTAAATTGTCTCCAACTTGCCATGAGCCAGTGGTGGTCTATAAATTTGACAGAAATATTGAAGATAACTTTTCAAATGTTAGCTTTGAGACTGTGAGTGCTTGTTTGAGGCTGCACTATGCTAATTCATGAGAAGCGATTGGCTCTCCAGTAATGTGGGTCAGAAAACGGAGGTATACTGCTGTAAATGAAAGCAGACGGAGCATGAAGAGCTGAATCAGAGAGCTGCTCTGGACTCAGATGAACGGTCAATACCACTGGATTCAATCTTCATTAAAATAGACGAATGAGTATGTGGAGGAGAGCTGATGTCACTTTAAAAGCCTTTCATTAGGTAGATTGGACTGCCTTACTTCTTTAAATCAGGCGCATCACCAGTGTCCTCCGAGTCCAAGGGCTTCTTGATGTTGGTCCATTCTGATACATCATTGGAATCCTGTTTGAATGACACAAATATATCAAAAGGAAACAATGAATGTATGTTTATAGATATTTTTGTGCACTGAAGCATTCTTGCAGAGAGAAAAGAGTTTTTTCCAAGTGTTTTTGTCTTATGGACTCTCCATTTCAGCTACTCACAAAATTAAATATAACAGTGAGAACGAGAAAAAGAACTTTCTTTCCGAGCATAATCAATGCTGACAATGATCGGCCCTCCTCAGCAGATTCAGAAAGGCAGGTGGATATAAAGCCATTTTCACTAGCAGTACAGCTTCTGTAAAGCTCAGACACACCATCACTTTTACACTGAACTTTCCCTGAACTTAAATAACTCTGAGCTCCATCAAAACCCATTATATCCCATCTTATCCAATGTAATGTCTCCATGCCTGATCGCTTTTATAGAAGCTAAAGAAGTTTCCCATTCAAGGTACCCTGAAGCCTGATGGGATGCTAATGGATTAGAATGTCTGATATGATAATGATATACTACAATAGCTTCATTTGGTAAGACAACAGCTGTAAAAAAGAAGCCTACAAAGGTAAAATTTATAAAATGAGGGATGGTGATGTTTTTAGACTCACAATGTGGTTTATGTTCTCTGACTGCCTTGTGGAGTTCACGATTTGGGTCTTAAGCATAAGGACCTCCTCCTTGCACACATCCAGCTCCTCATTGGCCGCTTTGAGCTGATTCAGCAGCAGGTTGTAGCCCTCTTGAAGCTCATTGGATGAGTTGTTATCGGAGGCCCTGTCGGCCACCGCTTTCCTCAACTCGTTCAGGTCATTCTTCAACTTCTTGTTCTCAGTCTCGAGCTCTTGCCGCTGTAAACAGAACAAATTTTATGAATGCAGTCTAAAAAAGGGTAAATAGCCTGCATTTTGTACCACTTAAAGGATTTATTTTTAGTAAAAGCTATCAAAAGTAACCGGAGGCAAGAAGTTGTAAATTAGCCTGAACGAATGTGTGTTTGTGTGAGAGAAAGAATCTTTGAAACAGAAAGAGAGGGACTCACAAAAAATACATAAATCAAGCAATGCTGACTGCAGTAATTTTATCCAAGTGAATCTAACGCCCGTAGCTAAAGCTTTGATCCGACACACAAGAGCGTTTGAGCGCTGCAGAACAAGAACCATCAGCAATTATTATATAAGCTCACCGTGCAATGCTGGGGTGCTTTAAGAAAACAAACAAATCAGTTATGTAATTCTATTGCCTTGAGCTCCACATTCAGCTGCACAGCTTCCAGATCAACTTTTGGCTCTGGTGTCTTCATTCTTGTACTTTGCTCAAGAATGTGTCAAAACCTTTTAAAGCTGTTAAACCAAGCCTGCTGTTGGGGTTTCAACACACCCTCATGCTCAGATAAATGACTGGTTGAACTGAAAACTGATTGCTGATATTAAAGTGTTAAGGGCTTGTGAGGTGTCCGATGAAGATCACAATCACATGATAGTAAAAATTAGATCTGACAAAAAAGCTTTAGGACACAAATGAATAAATGTGATTTCGTATTAGCCACCTGCCTGTGTGCAGCTTCAAGACTATTCCAAGAGTGTTGTACATGTATGAGTGTTGAGTGCAAGAGTGTTGTGCATATATGCATGTATAATTTATAGTGTATTATTATATTTAGATTTTTTTTCAATTAAAAAGAATAATAGATATAAAATGTAATATTTTATATATTAGATTATAATATTTTATAATAGTTCATTTTCCATCAAAAGTTTTATATATCATTTTTTATTTAATATTATATATATATATATATATATAT